TTTGAATTTAGTGTCCTCTTCTCTGCATGTGCACTTTTTCCCCATATAAAGGTGTCTTACTAAAGCTCCTTTGAGCAAGAAAACTCCACATCATTATACCAGCTTTCAGAGGCCTGGAGAAGTGGGTGATTGCTGATTAAAATGAGACAAAGCAGTATGTCCTGAACAGAGGGAAAGAACTCTGTCATATGTTTCAGAGTGGGAAACTCTATTTCCTGTTTTGCTACGTGGGACTTGGTTCTCCTAATGCACATGTTCCACTCCAGATGCCCAGCTATTGTCTTCATCCGAAAGATGACCCCTTTGTTCCAATACATTGGGTATTTGTGATTCCAAGTAGAGACTGGTTTCTGTCAGCAGTCTTTTTTTTTGCATCAAAATCAAGAAAGGAAAAGGTAGCTAATACTGAAAGTAGGGGTAAAACTTTTTTTTTAGGGAGTACCTAATTTATAAAGTTGGGGTGTACAACGGGATTGCTGCTGAGTGACTTCTTGAGAACACAGGAATCTGAGGTTGCTGCTGAAATTTGGACTAAAAGGACGATCAACTGTTGTTCTTCAATACTTCCAGGTATGAAAGGCAGAAATTTTCTGTGCTTATGAACTTCCAGGATTAACCTGAGCCTAAGGAAGTAAAAGCAGAAATTATTCAGGTCCTCCTCCCCTTACTTGTCAATAAACCTCAGTCATGGCCTGTGATAGTCTTAATATCCCAGTCTTGTGGTGTTTATGTAAACACTGTCAATGCACAAGTACTGTTCTGGTTTTCTGTCATGCAGATGAATACCTTTTAGAGTTAGGTTGAGGCCACCAAACTTCTCATCTGTGTATTTGCTCAGACCTGCAAAATCTTAAAACCGTAACATATTATTATGCCACTGTTTATGTAACCACAGTCTGGTAAAGCATTTCTCCTACACATAAATCAAAGGCTCCAATTCGCTTCCTCTGTTATGGGTAAGCTAGGAAGTAACTCTTTCAAGGAAGACACTGTTCCAAAGAAAATTAAAGTAAATCCATGTTACTAGAAATCTTTAGGATGCGAGGACCGGTTTTGTTCAGTGCTGTGAGTGACCATACAGAGATACGTATGTGTTCATGTTGGTCCTACTGCAGTAGAAATAACAGTAAGCTCTTGGACGCATTGGCAGCAAGTATCTAATTCTTGGTCTTCTTTTTGACTATGATCCAGTTTATTTTCCAAGTGTACCTACTCATCTGTTTGACAACAGCCAAGAGAAATTATGTCCTACGTTTTTTTCAGGTCTTACAGTCAGATCTGCCTTTCAGTATTTCTTGCAGGCATCTTGGGCTGTTGGGCCTGATTTCCATCGCTGTTATCTCAGTTTGCTCAGGAAAAAATGTTCATGCTGTTTGAGAGCGGGAAACTTCACAGCAATTCTCAGATCATCTCAGATCAGATCAGATCAAAGCAAATCTAGTAACATTCAGGGGCTTTCTGGGATCAGTTGCAATCTACCACTCAGTAGATGCAATAGTTTTCAAAGTAATAACTGTCTTTCCTTTAAAAACATTAGGTATTCATATTGTAAAATGAAAGTGAACTGAGGATGCATTTGTCAGATTTTGTGTTGTAAGAAGCTATGGGGACTACAAAGAGCATCATCTGGTTTTCTGCATGCAAAAAATGCCAGAGTATTTTTGTTGGAAGGCGGGTATTCTGCTGGATTATAGGAGGATCCACTAGGCACTAAACACCTGATATAAAACAGAGACAGAGATTTGTAGCTGATAAGCTCCTGCTTTAGTACAATTAACTTGAAAAAATGTCTGCATTAAAACCCAGGTTCTCTGTTAGTGTCTCTTCTACAGTGTTCCAGTTCAGATGGACACGTTGGGCGGTGTATGACTCCCAGCCAAACATCTTGTTAAATACTTGCAGGATTTCCCATAGCGGAGCTTACTTTAATCAAATAATTCAAACGTTTCTTTTGTAAGTACAATAGAAGGGCAGGGCTTGTGTTTACAAAGTATTCAGTATGGAAATCCTGTATTAATTGAGGTACATTTACTTCACTTAGGACAGTGTCCACATAGTAACTCTTTAAATAAAAGGCCTTTTGCTGTTGCCTATTCCAGAGAGGCAGTCACGTGCAATGTTAATGCGTCAGATACAGAAAATCATGAGGAAATGGCTTCAGAGATGTGCAATGTAGCCAGCAGAGATGTTCCTAATTAACAAAGACAATTTTATGGGTGATATTCTCACAGTGAATGTAAGAGAGTATAATTTATAAAAAGTAGTTTTATCCCTGTGGAAACTACTAAATAAAGAGGCTGTGTCTTTCTCAATCTATTTCAAGAATGATCAGCAGGAGCAATGCCAGATGCTGGATTTTTGTAATATCATGGATTAATATAACCTGTGATTTAAATTACTGTCTTTCTAAGGTAGCAGCTATATTTTCTGTGAGTAAACACAATGTACTTCTATCCAGCCCAGTGCCAAATCTAGAGCTTTTATGATTAATAGTAAATTAGAGTTTCACATAAAGAGTACACAAAAAAGAAAGATAATATTAATACTCGGTGATAATATTATTACTCAGTAAAAGGTAACCAGAATTGTGCTTCTCTGAGTTCCTTATTTTGCTGTGCCAGAAAATACCAAAATCAAAATAACCCACATACAGAAGAATTAACAGAGAGTCAACATTTTCCTCCTCAGTGAGTTGGAAATTACATGTTGCTTCTAAGTTTAATACAGTGAAATCTTTTTTTCCTTTTTTTCTTTAATTATAACTCTGCTATAGTTGAAAATATGTTTCTTTACCACTGTATTAAATACCTGGCAAAAGGGGTGTTCTAGAACATTTTAGGTGAATGTAGGTCAACACAAAGGAATCATACAGTTGGAAATATTTTCCAGTGTTTATGTTCAGATGTTGAGACCTGTCTGGCTCCTCTCTATTTGCATGTGTTGGGGTTATAGGCAGTCCGGCTACATTCCACGTTGATTTATATAAATATATTACAGATTATTAACCTCCAGCCAAATACCAGTAAATTTCACTTTTCAGGAAGGTTTGTGACTTTTCACAAAACTTATTTATCATGTACAGGACATGTACACCCCACTGAGGTAATCTTAGAGAACAGTATCTGTCGTTAGAAGAAATGTGCCAAAACATTTTCTCTTACAGTCACTGTGTTACCATAATAATTAATGTTTGTTTCTTCAGATTGTGATTACAGATTAAGTACAGATTAGTCTTCAAGTAGAGGTAGGGTGACAGTCTTATTATCATATTCTGGAACTCTGGTTCCTAATTTATTACTCACTGAAAAGCTTCCTTAACCTAAAATGAATGCGCATGTATACATTTTCAAAATATGATGGCTAATAATTTATTCAGTGTCAGACCAAAGATTATTTTGGAAATGCTGTCAAATGAAAGCACAGCCTTTCTATGGTAAATGTCAAGTGAAAAATACTGCTCTCTTAAACCCAAATTACATTCTTCCCAAGTGGTTATGCCAATCCTAATGTGAAATACATTGAGATTTAAGGTAAGAAATTAAATCTCAATGCAAGATCTCATGTACATCTTGTCCTTGTCTGTTTGTCAGATGTCCTCTGGGAAAAGAAGGGACCCCCAAGGCTTTGTGTATGATCAGTTGACTTCAAATACTGCATATAAAGCCTTTAGTCCTTGAACAAACAACAAAAATATTACTTGAGAACATTAACAGAAGTCCTACACTTCTTAATTCTAATAAAGTAATTATAAGGAAGAATGTGAAAGATAAAAGTAATAAACCAGCATCACTGATATGATGTTGGAAAAAATAAGCCATAGTACCAACACTAGTTTGGTCTGTTATCAATGAGAGATTCTTCAGTTTAACTGTCTAGACCTTTTTTCTCAGTAACTTCATTTTTTAAATCTGCTGTCACCTAGTAAAAGTAGATTCATTTTTCTGCCTCACCTCAGAGAGAAATGTGATCTGGTCTTGTAATATAAATGAATAAGCACATAAGTAAAGTATGTGTGTAGGGACGAAATGTCCTTCTTGCTGTTCAGATGGTTTCCTATTAGGATTTTGTTGAAGTGGGACTTGAAGAAGGATAATGAATATCACTGGTATGAATATAGGTGTGAAGCACAGAAGGATGGGCAGATGTTCTTGAAAAAGGTGAAACTTAAAGCTGGCATGGTAGACGGTGAGGATGAGAGAAATCCTACTTAAAAAGAAAAAGTAATAGAAAGTAATCAGATAGGAATGTGGTTATGAAGAGCTTTGTAGATTAGTTCAGTGTTGTGCAACAAGGTGAAATGATAAAGAAGTTCCAGTAAAAGAATGACCAAAAGTGATGAAAGAAGTATTGACATGTTGTGCACAAAGCTTTTTTCCAATCAGCAATGCTGATTCCTTTCGTCCAGGAATTTGCAAGAGGAATCAGCGAGACAATTCTGTTTCTGCTGAAATAGATCAAATTATACAGCTGTGTAATGGTATACGTGGGAATTATGTGGAAAGAAACTGAAGGTGCATGCAAACACTCTTACGTATTTTTCAAAAATATTTCTGGCTTTTTTTTTCTTTTTTCTTTTTGCTTTTTTTTTTTTTTAATTTGTCAGTACTGGAGCCTAGAATGTGTATAAATATGTCATATATGTAATATAATTTATAATTATGTCATATAATTCATTATATGTCATATAATTTTCTGTAGTAACTCAGGTTACTGTGTCAAAAAAATAAATTATTTTCATGTAATTATTTTGCATTTAACAGTTGATGAGTTCTTATTAATTAATCCTATTTCAGAATTCACAAGTGAGAGACTGAGATGGTAATTTTGATACATCAGCTGTTATCTGATGAATCAAGAGCTCAAAGATTGGTCTTGATTCTTTGGAATGCTCTTTTCCATTCTGTATACTGTAAGAAATTTAAATAGACATGCTTGAGATGCAAGTTACATTTATACTGGTTCCTACATACTTACCTCTTCTCTTCTTTTCCTCTTCTCAGATTGTTTGATGTGTGCACCGTGTCACGAACAGACAGAGAGACCAAGTTAACATTAGTGTTTGAACATGTGGATCAAGACTTGACTACTTACTTGGATAAAGTTCCAGAGCCCGGAGTGCCTACTGAAACTATAAAGGTATTTAAGGAGAAAGATTTTAGGAGATAGTATTTCAGAGATAAATCAGACAAACTGTGTTGTGATCTCACAGGATTTTGTTGCATCAAAATTGAATAGTGCCGAGCTTGGGACATGAACTGCAGCACAAAGTAACAGATATAATCTCTTTGTGAAAATGGTGCACTTGTGATTTTATTCCTCTTTCAGAGTTCTAAATTTACTGAATCTCTACTGTTGTACCAAATGTAGCATTCAAGCACAGGAAGGACAGGGACCTGTTGGAGCAGGGTCACCAAGCTGATTAGAGGGATGGAGCACTTATCTTACAAGGAAAGGCTGAGAGAATTTGGATTGTTCAGCCTGGAAAAAAGAAGGCTTAGAGGTGACTTAATTGCAACCTTCCAGTACCTGACGGGAGCCTACAAGAAATATGGAGAGAGACTATTTACAGGAGCATGTAGTGACAGGTAAAGGGGAGTGGTTTAAGACTGAAAGAGTATGTTTAGATTAGATATTAGGGAAGAATTCTTTACTGTGAGGGTGGTGAGGCACTGGAACAGGTTGCCCAGAGAAGTCATGGCTGCCCCACCCCTGGCAGTATTCAAGGACAGGTTGGATGGAGCTCTGAGCTACCTGGTCTAGTGAAAAGTGTCCCTGTGCATGGCAGTGGGATTTTTAAGGTGTTTTCCAATACCAGTAATGCCATTCTGTGACTCCAAGATTGCGTGAAATCATTAAGACCTTTGCTTCCAGCTGCAAGCAGATGATTCTGTTATTGTTTTGGCAGAGACTACTTGAACCTTCCCTTGAAGGTGAAGTGCTGGATATTGCTAGAATGGATAAAATAAATCCTGTACTCCTTATCCCTTTTCCTTTGCCTTTTATTTCCCCAAGAGACTACTTTTGTTTTATGTCCTTCTTGCCAGGAGAGTTTGTGTACATTCTGAGAGCAAGAAATGTTCATTGTTGGCCTGTGGTGTGCTCTGCAGTGGATGGGCTGAAGGGTGGAGGGAATCATGACCAGTTGCTACAGAAGCTGGGAAGGCTCTCAGTAACTGGGAGGACAAGAATGAAATTTTGTTGTCATGGTATCTCATATTCTGTGTTATCTCATATTCTGCATCTGTAAGGGAGGACCCCTACCTACGATAGGATGTGCTTGCATTACTGTTATTAAAATGCATATACCAACTCCTCTGCTTTCCTGGCAATTTCACAGCAAAGTGCCACATTGAGGATCATAGGTTGAGGTGTTAGACAAAAAGTTTATACCTGGGAAGAGAAGCAGAGGGATTGGTGTTGCTACATTTTGACTGTGTCTGTTTAACATTTGTTTTGATTTTTTTCATTTTCATGAGGAGAAATAATTTATGCTTTCAGACATGCATTATCTTCCACTTGTATAAGTACTTTCTGGAGCAATATTGTATCATCTTAGTCTGGCAAAAGTCCCCAGGGAGGAAAAGAAAACATGAAAACTATTGAAAATTGAGTTGTTTTAATAACTCTGTTAACAGCTTCAAATTTAGGAGTTGTTTGATCTTTCTGTATAAAATTAGAACTAAAGTGAATAAAGATATATTCACTGATGCCAAAGTCACATATGTATATCAGTCAGTTCCAGAAACCCATGTTTTTAACCAAACGTAGTGGATGAAATAATTTTTTTTAAAAATGGATACAGCTTTGATTCAGTCAGAAGAAGACTGGAATGTACCTATTATATTGTAAGACTAATTTATTATAATGCTGTTAAGGTTGTATATTCCTCCTAGGACTTTGAAGCTTCTTACGTGAACTGTATTTCAACTTAACAAACATCTGTGAAAATAAGATGGTGGTGACTGGCATATTATCTAACTAAATATACTGAAATTGATGGGAACTGAAAGACCAAGCCTCTGAAATCTCAGTTTGAAGTGTCTTTTGATCTATGTGTCATTTAAAGGAAATACAAGACATGAGCACTGTACTACAGTAATTGTGATTACTAAAAATTCTGTTCTGAAATTGCACTAAGAGACTTCTCAAATATATGTTTGAATATACATTTCATGGAGATTTTATACTGATGAAGGAAATTATTGTGCTTACATTCAAAAAGCACTATTCTGCATAAATGGTTTACTAGTCAACCCGGTTGCTATATCTGGTAGTTTGGCACAATAAAGTAGAAAAGCCACACAGAAACAAAGCGGAGCAATTTTGGTCTTTTATGTACAGTGCGAGTTCAGCTGCAACCAGTGAAATTAGTGACTGTAAAATTCAGCTTGTGGTACATAATCACTTTTTAAATGGGTGAGGAAAAATGTAAAATTGTTGTTTACTTGGTCATTGCTGTTGATTTCAACATTTTCACAGTAGCTGATGTGTTTTTTCTTGAATCCTGTTTAGCTCAGGAAAAGAGAGAGATTCAGTTAACTTAGGTTGCACCCTGTTGCTTCATATTTCTGTCAAAATATCCAGTTTATGGAGGTACTTTCGCTGATAGTCAGGGCTGATCACGTGAGGAAGGGTCTCAAGGCTTATTTTTAGTATATTTCAATACCTTTGCAATTATAGTCTTTATGGATATTCCTAACAGAAACTGAAGTAAAACATACCTCTCCTGGCTGTAGGGAAATACTGCGATTTTGTAGCAGCTGAGCATTTAACCCAGAGCACATACATCGTTAAGTGACTAATCTGACTTTTTATAGTTTGGCTTTTGAGGTTAATATGGATTTGTACTTCATTTATTTTCCAGAATTGCAGACAATTTGTGTAGAGTATTTCCCCTCACCGCCAGCACAGTACAAAACAACTGCCAGCATTGTAAGACCATCTGTTAAAGTTCTGTGTGTGTCAGCAGCACAGAAGTGCCAAATGAGCCAAGCCCTGGATAGCTTGAAGGACCTAATATACCTCTTTGGCACCATGGTGTAAAATCAACAGTTGTTAGTGGACCTTGAATGACATAAAATTACTGTGAGAGAAGTACCAGCTCCAAGAGATCTTTTTTGTGTGAATTGACTACCATCATTACATACCATTTAGGGAAGGGAGGTTCAGCTTTTGCTGGTTTGGGACATGCTAGGGTTTTTGGTTACCAGCTGTCAATAAATAAAAGTGACACTGGTACCATTTTAAGAACTTTATGTTTTGCAGGCAATTGTCAGACTGTAGCAGTTCAGAGAAATGAACCATTATTGATCATTCAAACACAGCTAGAGCTTTTGCCTTAATGCTGCTCAGCAATGCCTTTCTAATGCCTAAGTACCTGCAGTAGGAGTCGCCCCAGAGGGTGTTTTATTAAGATACAGACAGGTGTCCATAACATGATAGAAGAGAGGTAGTTTTCCTGTGAGACATTGTCTGGTAGTGGGAATACACACCCAGGATCTAGAGCAGACTGCTCACTTCCCCTTTCTGTCACCAGGAGCGTGAATGCTCTTGTCCATTTCTATGGCTCTGGCTTCTGAGTTCTAGGTTATTCTGAACAGAGGAGTTTTAAATCTTTTCTGCTGAAGCCCTTCCATTATTATTTAATTGAGTCTACTTTGAGCTAGAGGGATGGTGAACACTACTCTAAATACTTGTGGACATAGTGTTCACTTTTGAAAGTGAACTTTAGTGTTCACTTATTCGGTCTTTAATCTACTTAATAAGCCTTTGTAATTGCTGGATGTAGTCACGCTCACACTTGCTAGCTTCCTCTGTCAGACCTGATTAATATATGTTCCATATGGCATGAATCAGAATCAGCAATGACAGAATCTTCCTTCTTTCGTCTCTACCCATGGTCTCCTCCCTTCTATTCTTCCTGGGATGCTCTTTAACTTTAGGGCAGTTTATGTTTGTTTAAATTAAGTTTAAATGAGAGGTATGAGTTCAGTTTCCTTAGGACACAGCTGTTAGTCATGCACAGGTCTTTGGTAATGTTAATGGTCTTAGCAGTTGAGCCTTCGAGAGCCTTGGCTCATTAGGAACTTTTCTTAGCTGGCATAAGGGTAGCGGAAGTGGGAATGACACATATGCCACAGAACGATGATTTTCTTTTAAATAGTTAACAGACCACTGAAGCATTTTGATGCCTTAGCCTTTGGGACTGAAGCATATTTAAACTGTGTAGTCACATTTCGTTTTGATGCTTGTGAGACTGGCGTGGGGTTTTTTTTGCTCCTAAGTAGTTTTGATGTGGATATGGTTGTTTATAACACTAACTACATTTTTCATGTAGAAATCATGCAGATGCAGCCAAGATGGAGTTTATTGATTTAAGATACTGCAATGTATTTAATAATACTTAGCTTTAAATTGATCTATGCATGTAATGGCTTTGTATATAAAACTGTACATTAAGTGGTTACAGAATGGTTCTTTGGAGTTCCATCCAGTCGTCTTGTGCTGCCAGACCAAAGAGACTTTGAAAGTGAGAGGGGACAACAAACTTTTACTGAGGTTCTTTAATTTTAGCAATGAATAAAGTTAACTTTGTGAGGTAATGTCATTCCAAGTAGACTTACTGTGGCTTCTTGCAATAGTTTTCTTAGAGAAATGTAGAATTTGGGCTACATGTGCTAAGTGGGTTGTGCATGTTGCAATCTAACAGTCAGCACAGGAGGGAACAAAACAAAGGTTTCCAGTACAGCAGGTGCATATGTTATCTCTCATGGAATGTTGCAAAAGCTGTGGATGTCTTTCTGCTCAGTTCCGTGATTCATGAATCTTCATGGTGTTCCCTCCAGCCTTGAACAGGGCAGGCAAATCACAGAGTGAGCAGGGTTTCAGTGTATATGCTTTTCTCTCCTGTGTCCTGGTTCCTCACCCAAGTGAATAGCTTCTGTGACTATTTTTTGGATATTTACTTCTTTACATAGAAAGCTGGTATACCCATCTCATTCAGGTGTACAGATTCTGGTATTTAGATGCCTAAAATTTATAAAGTACAGCAGTGAGTCTAATTCTCTTTTGTGAGCTTATCAGGTAGTAGCCCATAAATTGAATTTTTAAATATTAGTGTCAGGATATATGTTATT